ACCCCCTCACCCGCACACGCCACCCACTCACACAAGCCCCTGCCACTCAGGGGCGCACACGCTTCCCTCCCCCACTGCCCCCCAGGGACCCGCCTTTCCCAGCAGCCCCACCCCCGGGGCAGTGGGCCAGGGGCAGAGCTATGAATACAAGTCGCTGAGTTGGAGACACCCGATCCTCAGGGGGTGGGGTGTGCCATGGCTGTGACTCTGGGCCCTCCACAGTCGGGGGGGCAGGGACTCGGGCTCCTGGGTGGTTTGAGGGCCCCCAGTTCCTCATTCTGTCTGGTCTGGGATAGAGCTGGCTGATTGCATGGGGTCCGTGCATGCTGAGGAGGCTGAGTGCCTGAGAGCCTAGGGGACGATGGCCCTGGTAGGGGGAGGTCAGCCAAGAGGAGGCAGAGGCCGGGGCAGAACAGCAGGCCAGGACCTGAAGGCAGGCGGGCCAGGGACAAGGAGGAGAGGGAGGGCCCTCGGACTTCTGGCCAGGGTGACCCAGTGCCTGGCAGTGCCACCTAGGAAGCCAGACACAGGCTTTGTCCCCTGAGGGCCTGGGGCGGGGCCTCTGCCAGCTGTGGCTGCTCTCAGCACCCCATCTGTTTTGACCGCCACTGGGTGCTCCCTCTGGGGCACTTCCCCCACACGGGCCCCGGGTCACGCTTGCTGCTGTGGGCTGACTTCCAGCTCGGAGCACAGAGTGGCCAGCTGTGGGGTGCATGCATTGGGGTCTGCAGCCACACACAGGAATGCTGCCAAAAATGTGGAAGGGATGCCCTCTGAGCTCCTCCTCCCTGGCTCTGTGGCCTCATTCCTGAGCTCCCGCCAGGCGAGCTGGGGCTCCAGCACTCCCAGGGGAGCCCAACGCACTGGGCTCGAGGAAGGTCCACCTGGCTCACTCCTGCCCGACACAGGCGGTGGATTCCTAGAAGATGCTTTCTGGGCTGGTGGGCGGTCTCCCATCCTCTCTCTGCCCTAAGCCACAACAAGCCAGCCAGCTCTTCTCCCTGGACCCTGCAGCTGGGCGCATGCTCCGTGCCCACTCCTCTCCCTCCCCGGTAGAGGGCGTCCCCTCCCCAGGCCTGTCTGCTCCGGGGACACCCACGGCCCTCCCTCCGTGCAGCCGGCCAGCTCTGGCCAGCCTCGCATGCCCGTCTGTGGCCGTCTCGATAACCCTCATCTTGAAGATGCCAGTCTCCCCTGGCTATGGAGATGGTTCTAGAACTAGGCCCTCCCTGCTCTGCCACCTGGGTCTGCAGGCCAGGCCCTGGCCACTCCCATCGCTTGTAAGAACCTTTGATGGGAGGAACCAAGGACAGAGCTGGTTGGAACCCCCTCACCAACCACAGGGCCTCCCGGGCACCCTCTCCCCCATACGACTTCTCTACCCGCAATCAGATACAGCTCCACCTTCAGGCCGCAGCTCTCCAGGGTGGTGGGAGGAACTCCAGGCTGCCTTGGGGGCCCACAGTGCCTTCCCTCCTCCAGCCTCTGAACAAACAGGTGAGGCAGGGAAACAGGCCCAGAGAAGGTGAGGAATTGGGATAAGCAACGTGCGTGGGCCCTGACATGGGCCGCACCACCTTGTGTCAGCACTGGACATCGAGGGCTGGTCCAGGGAGGGTCCAGCCCTGTGGCCCAGGGAAAGCTGCTTTTAGAATGCCTGTGCTTGAAGCCCACAGTCAGGGCCTTCACACCACGGCCCCAGGAGCTGGGCAGGGCTCGGGACCCAGGCACTGAGGGAAGCCAGCAGCCAAGTCACGTGCAGTGGAGCCAGTGGTGGGGGAGCTGGAGTCCCATCTGGGTGGCTGCCTAGAAAGCTGAAGCCAGCCAGCCCCAGTGACTGGAAGGGTCACCTGGGCCTGGGGCCATCCCGAGTGGCAGCTGTGACCCCCCCTCTGGCTGTCCTGGTCCCTACCTGTGGTTTTGCCCCACTGACCCTCCACCACCAACAGGCCTCTCTCTTCCGGTCCCAGCGTCCATACACCGGTGAAGACCCCTCGTGGCCTTCGGCCACCTTGCTGACTGGGACTCACTGCCCACCTGCCCAGGAGTGGTCTGCAGACCCGCCTGCTCGTCCAGCAGCATCCTCGTGGCTTTCCCATCTCAGTGGTTTGGGGCTCGTGGCCAGTGTGCACCCCAGCAGCCGCCCGAGACCTTTCTCACCATCCAGAGATGTCTCAGACCTTGAGTCTCTCCTGCTGTTTTCTGTGCCTCGAGGGCCCATCCCCCGGGCAGCGCCCCCTACAGCCGCTCCCTGAACGGGTACTGCGCCCGCGCCCTCTCTGCCAGCCCTCCCTCCGCCCCAGACCTGTCCTCTCTCCCAGGCCACGGCCCTGCTGCGGCTTCATGGCAGGACCCCTGAGACCGTCCTCTCTGCTGCCTTGTGTGGACCCGCCGCCCTCAGGCCGGTTGCTCTGCCCGCCTTCTGGGAGTCCCTGCACCTCGGCCGGGCTCCCTTATGTGTCTGCTGAGCGTCCTTCCTGCTCCCCGTGGCCCAGATAGGAGCCTAAGAGCCCACTCACCTGGCCAGGCCATCGTGGCCTCGGGCTCCCCTGCCGCACCCTGTCCCCAGGCCCGCAGTGCCAGCCCTCCCTCTGTGTCCAGGGTTCCTTCGTCAGGCTTTGGGCCCCTGCCCAGGATCCCGAGGCCTCAGCACACACTGGTCAGGATTTAAGGTTTCCCTCCTTCCATTGGCAGTGAGGCAGCTCAGCACAAGGGCGCCGGGCCGGGTTCCCCTCCATATGCAGCATCCGCTCCTGTGTCTCGTCTCCCGCGGCGGCCTCCCTGCAAGAAGGGCCATGCCCTGTGGCTTGTTGGTGCTCTGGGACCTCTTCCCGGGGCGAAGAGGACCAGGAAATGCCTCACCTTGAACCCCAGGCTGGCCCAGGGGCCTCCGGGGTGGGGAGACCGGAAGTGCTGGGAGTTGCTTCCAGAAGTAGTCTCCTCTCCATGTCTGCACCCTCTGATGGTCACCCAGCAGTGGCTCCGGGGGCAGGGCCCCCTGAGGTTGGCGGCCCCTTGTGGCTGTGGGCGCGTCTGCCTGGGGCAGGAGAGACCTGTGTGCCCGCCTGGGGCACACGCCCTGCTTCCTCCAGGCCTCACGCCAGTGCCTCAGCAGGCAGAGCAGCTCTGCTTGGGGTGGATGACTGAATGAACGAATGACAGGAACCTGCCGGCTGACATGCAGGAGGTGAGGGCTGCATAGGTGGACTTCGAGGTTTTGCCTGGACCCTGGGCGGGGGTGGGGGTGCGGTCAGAAGCATCTCCGCCCTGAGAGCCAGGCCCCTGGCCGTGTGTTGTGTGAGATCCTGATAAAACCCGCTGCTGCCGCTGCTACCGCCGCCCAGAGGCCTCCTACGCCGGCCAGGACCACACGGGGGGCCGGGGCGGCTTCACAGCCTCTGAGATGCTGTGGCCCCACACTCAGCCTCTCTGCTTGCCACATCCACTCTTCTCTGGTCCCCAGCAGGCTGGGCTGGCCAGACACCTGCGGGAAGGTCCAGGGCTGGTCAGATTCCCTAGTGGGCAAGCCTTGGCCTTGGCCCCATTCCCATGTCTGTCCACTTTCTTAGATCTCGGCTGCCAGGGAGGCAGCTGACAAGAGCATCCAAGGGGACTTTGAGTGACCGGCCAGGCCGCGGCAGGTGGCTTCAGTGTCCCTGGGGGCTCGGAACTGTGCCCGGCTCCAGGTTCCATCACGGTGGGGAGAAACTGGAGGCAGGCAGAGCCTCAAGAGGCCGACACCCAGGACACCTCTGGGCCCAGTTCCAGCCACCTTGGCCAGTCCCCCATGGGCACGGAAGTGGGATGAGGCCGGCGACAGCTCATTCTGACAGGGTCTGGGATACGGAGCCTCCAGAACCTTCCCACCTTGGGATAGGGAAGCTGAGCACGGCCCTGGAGCGAAGGCCCCGCAGAGGCAGCCAGGCTGGGCCTGGGGCCCTGGACAAACTTCCCCTCCAAGTAGTTCTCCAAACCAGGTCAAGCCCTGCATGGACTGCTGGCAGAGCTGCTCGCCCACCTGACAGCCGCTCACGCAGCTCTCCCTGGGCCCTCAGACAGCAGGCGGCAGCAGGTCTGAGGCTTAGGAGGCCAGGGGAGTGTTCTGCCCCGACTTCAGCGCCTGCCCGCATGTGGCCTGGGGGAGGGCAGTCGAGGGTCTCTCTGGGTCACCTGGACCTCAGCAGAGCTGCTGGGAGGCGTGCCCTGCAGGTCAGCAGGCCCTGGGCTCAGTGTCCAGGGCTCACTCACGCCCCTGGGAGTGGCCTGTGTCCTGCTGCCTGGGCCCTGCCGCTGGCAGGGTCATCTGCCACCCACTGGCCCACAACGGCCTGCCTGTGCCTGTTCCTGGGTGCCTGTGTTTACCCCAAACAGAGGCGGGAGTGCGCTCGGGCCAGCTGACTTGGCACTGGGCGCTTGGAGGGCAGGGGGGTGGGAGGCGGGGTGGTCTGGGCTGTTTGGTTTCTGGCCAGGGCAAGCAGGACACGGCTGTGGGGTGATGCCTGGCATATGGGGAGAGCGTCTGCAGGGAGGCAGTCGGCCTGCCACCCAGTCTAGCCTGGGCTCTGCTGCAGATTCCCTTCTCAGGACCTGTCTTCGGGCTGTCAGAGGAGGCCGTGCCCCCGGGGCCGCCCCTCCTGCAGCAGCTGTGATTGGGTGTGAGCATAACAGAGGATGGGGCGGGGGGGACACACTGCACCTGTACAGAGTCGAGGTCTGAACAAAGACGGGGGTCTCCCAGGGAGCGTCGTGACCCCCAAACCCGAGGCCTGTCCGTCATGGCGATTCCTGAGCCCACGGCCTCTCCTCCCCACCACTTCGTCAGCTCCCTTCGCCCCCTTCCCTCCCACAGCCCCTGTGTCTCCCTCAGCGGCAGCCCACCTGGCCCCCCCAGCATCGCCTCCATCCTGAGCCGCCCCTGACCCAGCTCGTGGGGCACTCCCTCCTTGGCTCCCAGTCCCCCCCACCATCCCCTTTGTCCTTCTGCTCCCCTGTCATTTACTCAGAGCTTGCGGTCGGTCAGTTCCAACAGCCAGCCACCTGGCTCAGGGCACCTGGGGAGGCAGCAGGCCCGCTGTCAGAGACGGTTGAGCTGTGGGAACAGCACAGTCGTGCGGCCGGGCTGCCCAGCAGGATCGTGGTGACCCCAGGAGTCTATTAGAGGCAAAGCTGCCTCAGCCCTGCAGGCCCCCACTTCAGGCCAGACAGACCTGCAGGCGTGCAATTTTATTAGTGGCTCGCTTGGGTGGCTCATGGAATTGGTTTCCAGCAGGGCCATGCGGGGCCTGGGTACAGATCGCAGGGGCTGAGCCCTGGTGAAGGGGAAGTCCAACTCCAGCCCCACTTCTTAGTTTAGCCCTGTGTGAAGTGAGGTCCAGGAGGGAGAGCGCCTGGGCCCCCAGCCCCGACCCACCGCCTAGGTTATTTCCGTGGAGGAACTGGGAGACGTAAATCTCGTCCAGACCGAGCGTAAGGAGCAGTGCTCCCGGCTGGGAGGAGGCCGCCCTCATTCAGCCTGCCTGGGTGGGGCAAGGAGAGGCCACGTGTGTAGGGAGACTCACCCTGCCAGGCCCTGTGCAGGGGGGTGAGGCCTTCTGAGCCAGCAGCCCATCACCCCCTCTGCAAGGCAGGAGGACCGTGGGGTGTGGAGGGCAGAAGCCCAGCCATGGAGAGGCCTCACAGATAAGCTTGGGTTTCTGTAGGAGGTTCAGGCCAGAAGCGGGGCTGGCTGGGCTCCAGGACTCTGGGGACAGAGCAGGCCCAGCAGGGGCAGGCCCAGGCACTGGGGTCCAGCCAGCCCACCTCCCAGCCCCACCTCCACCCGGCCCTGGGGCCCTCAGTGCCCTCTAGTGGCCAGAACTGGGACTGGAGGGTGGGACCTTTCCCGGGCTCCCCCGACTCACCCCAACCGGCCTCCACCCACGGCAAGTAGTTCAGAAAAAAGGGAAGCTTGTCATCTGGGCACCCCCCAGAACAGTACCGACCTCAGAATGGCTTTTTTTATTCATTCTTAGATGGGGTGGGGGTGCACAGGACCAGTCCAAGGGGGAGGTCCTGATGGCCCGTGCCGGCACCCTGGCTCCTTACCTGGCCACAGAACAGTGGTGCTGCCTGGCCCACCCTCTGCCTCCATGGAGCTCAGGCTGTGTGGCAGCAGGGGCCGTGGGGGCCTGAGTCTGTTTCCCAGAGGATTGGGCCCCCTCATTTTTGCATCAGAGGAGGGACCCATGGGCGGGGCAGGGCTCTGAGCGAGTCTGCAGCTTCGGGCCACACTGAACCAGCCTCCCTGAAGCATCAGCACATGCCCCCGAGACAGTCCTGGGCACTGGGACCAGCTTGGGCCAGCCCCAATCTCAGATTCAGTCCCCTGCACCCCACCCAAGAAGGGCCCTGGCCCAGCACCCCAGGCATGCATCAGAGTCAACCACTGGCCCAGACTCCCCAAGTCCAAGTGTGGATGGCATCTCGTGCTCCCTGGGCACAGAACTGCCGCTCCAGGCAGCCTAGAGGCAGCTCCTGAGCGCCTGCCATTAGAGCTGCCTGCAGTGAGGCTGGGCACCCGGCAGGCCCTCCCAGGGAGGGTCCAAGTCCTGGAGCTCCTGGCACTCAGCCAGTCTCTGTTCCCAGGGGGGCAACAACGCTGGCCACACGGTGGTGGTAGATGGCAAGGAGTATGACTTCCACCTGCTGCCCAGTGGCATCATCAACACCAAGGCCGTGTCCTTCATCGGTGAGTGCGCCCCGCCCGGCCCCAGGTCCCAGCGTGTGGGTGGGAAAGGCCTAGGGCAACATCCAGCCTGGGTCCACGTGCGGGCTGGGCCCTGGGCCCTGCCCTGCCCAAGTGCTTGTTTGGGAGTAACCTGCTCACCTGGGGCCTCAGCCCTGGGCCGGGAGGCTCGAGGTACCAGCCCCGAGTCAGGGCCCTGGCAGAGGTGCCTGATCCCCAAGCCCGTCCTCAGAGCCGTGCAGGGCTGGGCCCCAGAGGCCGCCACCCAGCCTGGCCAGACGGAGGGAAGGTGCAGGAGGCTCTGCTGAGCTCTCGCACTCCCCGAGCATGTGGGTGTGCAAGTGTGCACGTGTGCATGTGCTGCATGAGTGCATCTGGTGAGTGGGTGAGTGTGCGTGTGTATGAGTCTGTACGATGCGTGTAGGTGTGCGTGCGTCTGCATGCGTGCCTGCCCTGAGTGTGTGTGTGTGGGACGGGCCTGGCTTCCAGCTTCGTGGATGGAGGCGGAGTCTGTGTGGGGAAGCTCTGCTTTTCCTGGCCCCCCCCCACGATCCCTCTGCAGTCCCCTGCCCCCCTGCCCCTTCCCACTGCCCTTCCGCTGCCCCGCCCCCTCTCCGATCTCTCGGTGCCCAGAGAGGTGAGGCCTCTAGAACTGGGGGGATCTCTCCCTCCGTCCCCTCTTTTCTGTCTCTGTCTCTGTCTCTCTCCTCCTCTCCCCCCGTTGCCCCCCTCCCTCACTCTCTCCCTATCTCTGTCAGTCTCTGTCTCTCTCTGTGGCGGGCCCGATGCCCATCCTGCCCCCAGCTCTCGCTCCCAGGCTCCCAGGAGCTCTTTCTGGGCCCCCAGGCCTGGCCAGGCCCCACGGACACGCTCATGGGGCTTCTAGTGCTGTTCGCTCCCATTCTTTCCATGGCCGAGCGGGGCCACACTCATGGCTTTCTGCCCGCGCCCCCTCCCCGGCCGGGAGTAGGGGTAGCCCGGCAGGTGTGTGCCCAGCGGAGGCCCAGTGTGGCCAGCTGTGCATGAGCAGAGGAAGGAGCGTGTTGGCAGAGAGGCCGCGGGGCTGTGCAGTCAGGCTGAGCGGGAGGAGAGGGTGGCCCAGAGCCTTCTCCGTGGGGGCAGACGTGGCCTGGCAGTGGCTGAGGACAGAGCGGTTCCCCGGGAACCTGTGGCCCAGCTGCTGCGGGAAGCTTCTGAGCACAAGGCTTTTCTGCTGGGCCTGGGGCCCCACTCGGTGGGAAGTGAGGCCAAGGAGGCACTGTTTGACCTGTGCCCTGCCTTGTCTCCAAAGAGGTGGGGTGGGTTGGGGGCGGTGGCCAGAGCCCAGGCTGGCAGTCACCAGCTTGGCCAGACGGCGCCCAGGCAGCCCACTTAGCGAGGGGCAGGACGCGCCAGCACTCACGTAGCTGCCCCTCAGCCTGCGTCACCCCCCAGGCCTGCCTCGCGGTCGTTTCAGGACTCGTGGCATTTAGGTGACCTTTTGTGCTCCGTGTGGCTTGCGTAGTCTCTGAGTCACTCCCATCTGGACCAATGTCCGGTCTCCTTTGGCCAACCCTAGCTGGGGCGGCACAGGGGTCAGGCTCCCCAGGGAGGTGGTGGTGGCCCCCGGCCGGCTGCTTTTGGTAGAAGAGGAAGGGGCTAGCGTCGGCTTTAGCCTGGGCCACAGACGCGTACCTGAGACCTTGAGGAGGTGCCTCCCTTCTCTGGCCTCCGTCTCTGCCTGTGCAGGACATCTCTGCAGACCTCCTTCCGTTTCACCTGGTGCTTGGGTCCTGGGAGCCGGTGGAGGCTGCATTTCCCTGCACCTCCTGCTTTCGCATTTCCACGCCACTTAAATAAAACATAACAGCTTCTTTGAGGTGTAATTTACAAACCATGAAAGTCACTCACGGTGAAGGCACGACTGTACCTCCATCGCCACGATTCAGTTCTAGAACATTCCATCCTGAGACGTTCCCCCGGGTCACTTGTTGGTAATCCTCCTTCCCTCCCCAGCCCAGCCACTTGCTGATCTGCCTTCTCTGTAAATGCTTCATGGTGGTTTTTGTTTTGTTTTCAACATTTTTTCTTGTGATCAAATAATAGCCATTTTTAACTGTACAGTTCCGCAGCCATAAGCACATCCCAGTCGTCACCGCCGTCCATCTCCAGAACCTTCTCATCTCCCTAAACAGAAACCCCATCCACGTTGAGCACTCACTGCCCCTTTCCCTCCCTCAGCCCCTGGCCCCAGCATCCTGCTTTCTGTGGCTGGGAATCCGCCACCTCTAGGGCCTCATGTGAGTGGGTGGAACAGAACCTGTCCTTCAGCGTCTGGCTTATTTCACTTTATATAATGTCCTCAAGCTTCATCCAGGCTGCAGCCCGTGTCAGCATGTCCTTCCTCGCTAAGGCTGAGTAGCATCCCGCCACGCGGCTGGACTGCATCTGCTTTGTCCCTTCACGTTGACGGGTGCTTGGGCTGCTTCCCGTCTGAGCCACTGAGAGCTGTGCCATCCCCCGCTGTTCTAAACCTAAGTCCCTAAAGTCCATGATCCAGTTCAGTCTCCTGTCTGTGTTGCAGGCAACGGGGTGGTTGTCCACTTACCAGGCTTGTTCGAAGAAGCAGAAAAAAACGAGAAGAAAGGTATGTCCCCTGGAGACCCACCCGGTCCGGGACGAGCGAGTGTCCCCAGCAGCCGTGCTGGCCGGCGCCTCACTGTGTGGTCCCTCCCGAGGGCGGCATCAGATGGGCAGACGAGGCGATTTCCCACTGGCTCTACCTGTGCAGGAAGCCGGGTCCTTGCTCAGAAGCAGAGAGCGGGCTCCGAACTCTGGCTTCAGGCCACAGCCTCAGTGTCACGGGGGAGCTCTCATGACCCTGGGGACAGGTGGCACTGGGAGATGTAGACTCAGGCAATCCAGGAAGAACCCCTGGACCCTGGAATTTGACAAGGCTCCCAGGGGACCCCAAGTCCAGCTGAGACGGGGAACCAGTGGACCGACCAAGCCTTCAGGGAAGGATGTGGCTCCTGGGGGTTCCTCAGGGGGTGGCAGTGGCAGGCAAGGCAGTGACCGAGGCTACTGGCCAGGTGCCGGGGTCGATGTCCCCCAGGGGAGAGGGCCCAGGACCCTGGGCAAAGGGAGAGGCCACGAGGTGAGGGGTGGCGCTGCGCACCCGAAGTGACTGTGTGGCCTGTGGCGACCACGGGCTGTGTGTCCACAGGCCTAAAGGACTGGGAGAAGAGACTCATTATCTCTGACCGCGCCCACCTCGGTGAGTTTCAGGCTGGCCTGCCTGCTGGTGGATGAGTGGCCCTCGCTGTGGCCTGTGGCTCCACCAGGCCCGCTCCAAGGGCTCCCGGGGGCGCTGGGCCGGGCTCACTGCCTCCACTGGCAGATGGGGAACCTGAGTCCCGGGGGGGAGGCCAGTTTGTCCCCGGAGGCCCCAGTGTGTGGTGGGCAAGTCCCTGTGACTGGCCTGTCTCTCCCCCTCGCGGCACCCTCCCCTGCTGGGCAGTGTTCGATTTTCACCAGGCAGTGGACGGGCTCCAGGAGGTGCAGCGGCAGGCCCAGGAGGGGAAGAAGTGAGTATCTTCTCCGCTGGCTCGCAGTCTGCCCACCAGGGCACTGGGCGTGTCGGGGGGGGCAGGTGCGTCCTCTCAAAGCCCCTGAGAACGGCGTCTGTTGGTCCACCCCGGGCCTCCCCAGGCCTGAAGCCCAAGTGAGCCGCCTCTCCCGGGACTTCACCGTCTTCCCCAGCTGCCGCCCCAGGAGTACCCGGCTGTCACTTGCCACGTCCACCGCCACTGCTGGAATCTCAGGCCAGCCTTGACCACATGTGCAGCCACAGCTCGGCCACAGTGCCACATCCTGCCCACCAGCACTCAGTGGCCTTTCCCTGGTTCTCCAGAGATACTTATTAGGATGTGCCAGGAACAGGTTCTCACGGAGGGACAGGAGTGAAGCGGACGAGCATCCTCTCACACATGTGTGCACACACGTGTACGCACACGCCCGTGTGCCTGCACCGCACGATTCACACCCCTGCATGTTCATATGCGGGTACACACACGCTCACGCGCAAGCGCACACACACTGCTCGGCCACAGGCAGGTGGCCATGCTGAGCTTCCCCATTCGCTGAGCCTGGGCTGGGCTGCAGGGGGCAGTGGCTACAGGTTGGGCACTGTGGGTGCCAGTCCCAGGGGAGGCAGCGGGCAGCCAGAGCAGTGGCCTCAGTGCCAGGTAAGGGGGAGTCTGGCAGATGGGACAAGGAGGGCACCACGGGGCACTGGGCCTCAGAGTGGGGCCAGGGTGTTGGGGAGGGGTGGGGCTGGGACTCAGAGCATGTGCCACCACGTGGCCCCCGGCCCTGAGAGCTGGCTGTTAGAGGAGTCTGGCGGCTCTCAGGGCCGTCCCAGACTCCTGGGCACTGGTGCTGGGAGGGCACCTCAGACGTCACCCAGCTCAGCCTTTGATCATAGGGGTGAAAACTGAGGCGCAAGGCGGCTCAGGGTGCCCAGGGCTGGCCAGGGCGTCCCGCGCTGACGGCCCCGCGGCTGTCTTTCAGCATCGGCACCACCAGGAAGGGGATCGGCCCAGCTTACTCGTCCAAAGCGGCCCGCACAGGCCTCCGCATCTGCGACCTCCTATCGGACTTTGACGAATTTTCCAGCCGGTACCTGGAACGCCTGCGGCCCAAGGGGGAGACTGGTTCGTGAGGAGGGCGCAGGGATCCAGGCGGGGACGAGGGGTCACAGTCATTGTCACTTCCGCAGATTCAAGAACCTGGCCCATCAGCACCAGTCCATGTTCCCCACTTTGGAGATAGACGTGGAAGGTCAACTCAAAAGGCTGAAGGTAGAGTGGGGGCGCCGCGAGGGGGCGGGGCGCCGCAGTGGGCAGGGAGGTCAGGGAGCCGGGGCCCAGTGCCATAGGGCTGTGGGGGAGGGCCGGGGGCACGGAGCATCTCATCTGATGTCCGTGAACGCTCATGGGACCACACTCGTTTCGGGCATTATTATGTGGTGTTCGAGCTTGGGGGTCACGGGCCTCCTGTGTGAGCCCCTGACCAGCCGTGGTCAAGGTGGTCTTCTAGGAGGCCCGGGCTCACCTGCTCGGTCTGACCCTTTCCGTTCTTTCTGGGGAAACAGCCCAGGACTTGCAGGATGGGACAGAGGCCTACCCCGTCTGTCTGGGGCAGGAGGTAAAGGTGGCCCAGCTCACTCTTACGGGGACAGGACAGGCAGGAGACGGGAGGGTGTCAGTGCAGAGCCCTTCTGGAAGTTTCCAAAGGTGGGACCCAGCTCCTCCAGCCCTTGTCTGGGGCTGTGAATGTGGACAGGGATGGACAGCTAGCGATAGTTAGAGACCAGGCGCCTTGATGGGCAGGAATTTGCTGGAAGGAGGGGCAGTGGGGAGGAGGCCAGAGGTGGGTAGACGCCCGGGTTCCCGCATCCTCACCCCTTCTCCCAGGGCTTTGCCGAGCGGATCCGACCCATGGTCCGAGACGGTGTTTACTTTATGTACGAGGCGCTCCACGGCCCCCCCAAGAAAATTCTCGTGGAAGGTGCCAATGCAGCCCTCCTAGACATTGACTTCGGTATGTCCAGGGCCCAATCCCCATGGACCTCCTCTTCCATGTGTGCTGGGGAGACAGGTGTGGTAGGGCCACCTCCCACAGCCACGCTGTCATCCGCACCCAGGAAATGGTCGTACTGCCCTGGTTTTCCTAACTTCCAGGCGGGGAAGAGAGAGGCTGAGCTCAAGATGAGGGATGGAGATTTAGAGGGAACAGCCCGGGGCTGGGGAGCCCCAGCCGCCCCACGTGGGCGTTTGTCCGTCTGGTCCCCACCCTGGGGACACACCAGCACTGGGGTCACATGGTGGCCACAGGCCAGAGAGGTTCCCCCCCACCTTTCCAAGCGCAAGCGACCTTCTCCCTCCCCTAACCCCCCAGCCCGTACATGTAGCACCTTGTGCCAGCTGCACCCCCCAGGGTGGTCCCTCAGACTGCTGGCCCTGGAAACCCATGGAGGGGACATGGTGGGCTGAACCGCCCTCTGCCGAGAGGCTCCCCTGGGCTGGGGTGATCTGCAGGGATGGTGGCCTGACCAATTCTGTCTCACAGGGACCTACCCCTTTGTGACGTCATCCAACTGCACAGTGGGCGGCGTGTGCACCGGTCTGGGCATCCCCCCCCAGAACATAGGCGAAGTCTACGGTGTGGTGAAGGCCTACACCACTCGCGTGGGCATCGGGGCCTTCCCCACCGAGCAGATCAACGTGAGTCCCCAGCCCTGGTGGGATCCTGTGGGGCCCACGACAGGGAGCGGGCAGGCGGGCGTCCAGTGGTGGAGCCAGGGGAGATGCCAGAGGCTGCAGGCTCCAGTGGCACCGCATGAGTGTCCACGTCGGGCTCCTCGGCGCAGGGAGGACACGGAGAGCCTCCTCTCGGCCTCATCCTTGGGGTCACAGGCCACCTCTGCCCTTGGGGGGCTTTGGCTGGTCTGGGTTTCAGCCGATACAGCCGATACAACAGGGCTAGAAACAGCCTCATCCAGCAAGCATGCTCTCCAGCCTCACGGGTGTTTCTGGAAGCTCAGGACACCACTGGCCTTCCTCCTTACCTGGCCTTGTGCCCTTGTGTCTGGCGTGGTGTGTGAGGGCCGGAGAGGGAAGGGAAGTGCCTGGAGGCTTTAATGGGGCAGGGTGTACAAGGATAGGGACCCTGCGAAACGAACACACACCCTGCCCGAGGCCGCAGTGCAATGCCCGGCCCCTCTGCCCTCACCTGCCTGCACATGTGTGAGCCAGGCCGTGCCTCGCCCTCCAGGCCCAGGAGGAGGCGCTGGTCAGCAAGGCCCTGCCCAGGGGAGAGGCTGCTGGGGCAGCTGCTCCAGGGACGAAGGAGCAGAGAAGCAGGCACGGGGCTCCGCAGGGACGTGGGGGCGAGGGGGCCGTAGAGAAGCGCTGAGAGTTGGTTAGGCCGGGCACGGGCTCCCTTCCGTGCAGCATCAGGCCTGCTCTGTCTCCACGCAGGAGATCGGGGACCTGCTGCAGAGCCGCGGCCACGAGTGGGGTGTGACCACTGGCCGGAAGAGGCGCTGCGGCTGGTTGGACCTGATGATCCTGAGATACGCCCACATGGTCAACGGATTCACCGCGTAAGCCGCCACTCTGGCACACATGCTACTGCGCACCCATCCGGGGGCCATCCACCCCGGGGTCCCGCCCTGACTCCCCGGACCCTGCAGAAGCAAGCAGGGCTGGGCATCGGGCTCAGTGCCACCATCTCCCCACGCAGGGGGCTGTCACCAGAGGTAGACCCTTCCACACTGCGGGGCCACCATGGGGGTGACGTGGGGGCCATCCAGGGCATATCAAAGCCAGCCCTGTGGCCTGGCACCATGTCTGGTCCTGAGCACAGGCAGGGAAGGTGACTTCATGAAAGCCAGAGGGTGTCTTGGCACCTGTAGGACGTTAAAACAGTTCATCTGGACCCAGGGTTCAGTGCCCCAAGCAGAGGGCCTACACTTGTCCTCAAGGGCCCAGCGCCCTCTGCTGAGTGGGCCTCTGGTCTGTTAGGGTGCAGGGCTGGGCCCACAGGAGGGGAGGGGAGATGCTGTCCCAACACAGCGGGTGGCCAAGTGCTAAAGGAGGCCACTCTGAGCTCTGAGACCCCAGACAGGCCCACTGGCCGGGGGCCCCGTCTCCCCACTGTGCCAGCGCCAAATGCCATCATTCCACTTCCCCTGAACCACCAGGTGACACTGGGCTCGGAAGACAGGTGCAACACACATCCCCAGCAGGAAAGGCCGCCCTTGAAGCCCTGAGACCCCTCAGGGTGGCTGCAGTGGGGGCGCAGCTCGGGCTGGACCCAGAGAACAGCCAGCCTGGTTTACAGCCCCACAGCGGGAGCTCCACAGGCTGCCCCCCTCTGCAGTCCTGGTCTGCATGGCTGCGGACAGGATGACCCTGAGGGCCCCGGGAGTGGGAGCGCCCCTCCTCATGTCAGCGGGAATCCCGAAAGTGGTGTCCCAGCTGGGGAGGCGGGGGGCCCCCATGCTGCTTCTGGGACTGCCTGGGTAGCCGGGCTTCCTCCTGGTGATGGTCATGGGCGGGCAACTCAGACCTCCTCGTGGGGAGCCTGCTGCTTCCCCCTCATAAAGACGGGCCACGGTTCCAGATGCACATTTGTTGCCAAAATCGTGTGGCACACAGATAAGCCACAGCCATGCTCAGCGCGTGCAGAGCTGTCGCTCCGCAGGAGGCAGAGGGACGAAGTGGCTGAGGACGCAGTGTCTGAGGTCCTTGACCCTCAGTCCTCGTGTGCAAAGCAGAGAATGCAGCCTCTGGAGGCCACAAGGCCATGGGCGAGCTCTGGATCGGGCAAGGGCACCACGTACACTGGCCCCATGGGCTGGGAAGCACAGGGACCCCGCCAGAGGTGGCTTTCAGGCCTTGCCGAGCGGCGGGGAGGGGAGGAGAGGAAAGGAACGTACATGACCCCGGCTTCTCCTGGCGCTGGGTGGATGGCGCGTGGAAGATCCTGCCGTGGGCGCCTGTGGTCTGTGCACAGTCGCGGGGTCTCCACGGGGCGGAGGGGCATGAATGGGCACTGAGACCCTACACGTGGCCATGAGGAGGGCAGAAGGGCCAAGGTCATGGGATCAGAGTCCCCATGGGGCGTGAGGTGAGGAGGGCGGGGATGCCTGGCTGTCAGTGGCCTTTTTAACCTTCCTTTTCTGTTCTTGGCAAATAGAGGAGAAGCGAGGGGTGGAGGCCAGGCAGAGGAAGCAGCTGCATAGCTGACCACGTCTCGGCTTCTCTTTGATTTTGGACAGGCTGGCCTTGACAAAGCTGGACATCCTGGATGCCCTAGATGAGATCAAAGTCGGCACCTCATACAAGCTGAGCGGGAAGCGCATCCCCTACTTCCCAGGTCCGTGCTTGGGCAGCTCTGCCGCCCCTGGGTCGCCTCGCCACCGGGCTTGGGAGCACACATGGCCCGTGGTTTCTGGTGGCGAGGGGAAGGGTCTGCACGTTCATTCCGAGGGCAGGAGCAGGTCTGGAAGACGTTTGTCACAGGCTCTCGCCCGACGGGGGCCCTGGCCCAGGGCAGCTGCAGGGCTTCCCACAGTTTGGAAAGGGCTCAGAGGGACTTGGAGGGCCACGCCTGACCCCGGGGACTCTGCGAGGCCTTCCAGCACCTGAGGGTCAAGGCTCCCCTCCCGGGAGCCCTGGGGGCTCACCTGAGACAGCAGATGTGGGCTGTGGACAATCAGAGCCCTGGGCAAGTGGGAAGATGACTTTTGACTTAAGAAAACATGCATTTTTTTGGTGAGACTGTTTACAATTAACTAGAGTTCTACCACCTACAGTCTCACTAGAGTTCTGTTTCGGGGGGTGGGTAATTAGGTTTATCTATTTATTTTTAGAGGCAGTACTGGGGATTGAACCCAGGACTTTGTGCATGCTAAGCATGCACTCTGCCACTTGAGCTATACCCTCCCCAAAAAGCAAACTTCTTTTAAAAAGCATAAAGGCAGTGCTGTTTTCCTGGATTTCATAGTGACTTGTGCATCTGGACAGGGGTCATATTTTGACCCCACCTCTGTGGGCAGCCATGGGCGAGCTGCCCTTCACCTGCCGCCCCCGCACGTGTGTGGACACCCACCAGCACCACATGGCTGTGGGAGCCCGGTGTGTCCTTTTGGCTGGTGTCCTGCAGCCCTACTGACCCTGACCTTTGAGGGGGCGCAGCAGGAGTGTGGTGTGACCCCAGGGGCACATTCAGACTTGGAACACGTCCAGGATTCTTGCAGTGGACAGATCATTGCGGCATCTTCTGACAACAATGGGTGGTTGGTCTCTGCTGTGAGCCCTGGGGTCCCGGCCAAGTGGCGTCCTGCCTTGGGGAGGAGGGCACAGACCCTTCAGGGTCCTAGATCCCCTTAGAACCTCCAAGCAGGGTCCTCAGAGCTCCTTGGCTCAGTCACCCATGGACACCCTAGCAAAGCATGTAGTGAGTTCATGTCCAGGGTGGCTGTGTCCCCTGGTCTTGAAAGGCTGCAGCCAGTGATTGAGAACCACCCCTTGGCCAGCGAGAACCAAGCAGGGCAGCTTGCCTTGCTCGCCACTGACCCCCGGGGCAAGCCAACCTCAGGCAGGGGTCCCGAGGCTGTGACCGAGTGGACGTGTGCAGGACACTGTTCACCCCCGCCCCATGTGCTCCCCCAGCTAACCAGGAGATTCTGCAGAAGGTGGAGGTGGAATATGAAACACTGCCTGGGTGGAAGGCAGACACCACGGGCGCCAGGAAGTGGGAAGACCTCCCCCCGCAGGCCCAGAGCTACATCCGGTTCGTGGAGAACCACGTCGGAGTGGCAGGTGGGTGCACCCCAGCCGCCCTCCCTCTCCCCACCGCGCCCCGGTCTGAACCTCTGCTTTCCCTTTCAGTGAAATGGGTTGGTGTCGGCAAGTCAAGAGATTCGATGATCCAGCTGTTTTAGATGAAGACAGAGCTGAATCCAGCAGGACACAGCGGGTCCCCATCCCCACATAGACGGCCACAGTGGTGCCCCTTCCTCGGCCGGCAGAACGAACGCCATAAACAAGGAAACATGAAAATGACTTTCTGTACTTTTCTAATTCTCTTTAAGCCTTCAGCTCCACCACTGCTTTCTACTCTAAACATCTGAGAGCCAGCATTGTCTACATTTTTAAAAAACCTCCTATTTAAAGTGAGACAGAGGGCTCCGAACAGAGAGCTTTTACGGCACCCGAGTTGTCATGTGATTGTGTGTCCGACTGGAGGCGTCTGGCAATAAACAAACCCAACAGCCGCTGACGGTGGTGGTTCTGACTGTGTCCTTGTTGTTCTGGCTTTAAACACTGAAGGGCGCCCCTGACACCTTGCTGCCTCAGCAGCCTGGGTGACACACGGTCTTGGTGCTCCGAAGCCGGGCCGTTGTGTGCTCAGACAACTAAGTGGCACCAGCCCCGGGGAAGAGGGATCACGGGCATCAAACACGTTTCCCCAAACTGAACATTTCAGCAGATTAACTCTAGAGGCCTGAGCCCAGAGATCCGCCCTGTCCGTGTTACCAGGACACACTCTGCCCTCAGCCCTCGAAGTCCCCTGGACTGAGAAGCCACTTCTTCACTGGCCAAAGCCTTTGAGAACCAGCTGGGGTCTGCTCTCTTCCAGCAACTGTGTAGCTGCCTTCAACAGCAGAGTTTGGAGTAAGTTCAGCAAAGTAACTGGTTTTTTGATGCCATTTCAGAGAGAGAAGGAATTAGACACACAGAGAGACCCAGCATCCACCAGGCTTAAATCCTCGCTTTTTAGAGCTGAGAATGTCAGCTGGGCTCACTGCAATCACACAAGGTCCAACTTGGCTTGCTTCCCATTGACTCCGCTGGCCCCAGAAGGTTCCACAGGGTCTGATCTCACCGGCTCACACTGTGGAGTCCTGAACCCATGTGACAGTGTATTGGGTCAGCAGGCCACATACTGGGTGTGTGACTTCACACACACTAGCAAAATTTTCCGAACAGTGCCCAGAACAGCCTTCAGCCCTTTGAAAGAAGCCAGGAGAACACAATGTGGACCAGCTGCATTGGGTGAGAAACATGAGCAGAAACTGATCTTTGAGTTTCCTGAGAATCCCTTCCTCCCATGATAGAGCAGGAGAGACGGAAGGAGAGAGCCCCAAGGCAGGTGAGTTCCTAGGCAAAGAGCAGCCACCCTCGCAGCGCCACTGGGCCCCAGCTGTCCTCCCTGCCTCCCGGGGGCCTGTGCTTCACCTGGGACCACCAGCTGGACCAGTCTCACTGCCACAGGAAGATGCAGGCTATGAGCAGCAAATCAGAGTGTGCATTTTTCAAAAGAGAAACCATTTCATTCTGCATAAAAAGCTACAGGCCTGGCTTTGCAAGGTAGACCCACAATTTAAACTAGAAAGCTGCAAAAAAAAAAAGCCGCTGTGTTTTGTGGAACCTGCTGCATCTCCCACTCAGATGCCCGTTGCCTTTACCTTCCGTCTCTGGATGAAAGCTCGGGGAGGCAACCCCAGGCAATGTCTCTGAGTATCTGCTGGTGTTCTATAGGGTGAAAAGACACCAGCATAGAGGGGAAATAGTTCTCCCCTGCCACCAGCTTCCTCACTCTCCTGTGGCTCAGGGACAGGAGGCTCTGTCCTCTGTGGGGCGGGTTAGGGCAGACAGCCCCCTTGGCCAGAGTGCCAGAGTCGTGAGAGTCTGCGTAATTATAATAAGGGTGCTCTCTCTGCTTGGCCCCAGTGACACAGCCCCAGTGCAGATGAAGCATGTTTTTTTCCAAGCACTTTGGAAAGCTGCCAGTTTCCTTAGAAGTTCGCTATCCATCTACCTTCCCACCAAGCCATTTTACTCCGAGGCACTGAAGTCCAGGAAAAGCCTTATGCAAGGCTGCTCAGAGCAGGTGCCTTCACCACAGCAGTGTCCAGTGGCAGGTAAAGAAACTGTGGTCCATCCTCACACGGAATACGTTCAGTAACAGAAGGAACGGACCGCTGAGGGGTGCCAGGCGATGGACGGTCTCAGAGTTGGCGTGTGGAGAGACGCAGATGCCAAGGTGCACGTGCAGGATGAGCTGAGCACGTGAGGCTCCAGGACAGCAAGGAGGGACACAGGGACATAAAGCAGAGCAAGTGATGGTCTGTCTGCGGGGGGGGGGGCGAAGGGGGCCCCCCGCGCAGCTGGGACACAGCGGCAGCAGGTAGGACTTACACTTCGACCACCGTCTGGGCATTCCTCTGGGCTAAATACTCACGCCTTCACTCTAAGTAAATTCTACCCCAAGCTAAAAATTACAGGAAGCCATACAACCACATTTCACAATGGTGGAACAGCTGAGACCATGATTAACCAAAGGTTCACGGCCCTGAGGCAGCTGTGATGGAACAACTTGATGAAGACGTTTCCTGCCAGTGTCTCCTTAAGCATTTGCCAGAAGGGAAGTTTGCTGAACTTCTCGCGGGAAAACAGAAAGTGTGTTCCTTCCTCACCCAATGTATATTCACTTCTAGAATGTCCATCTTTCTAAGGTCAAATGATGTTATAACGCAGAAGCTTTGCATAAGTTTGGTGCCTGCCAGCCAGTTTTCCTGGGGATCCCCCCAGCCCCAGGCAGGGCAGGTCTCCTTACTTCGCTTCCATAGCCCCCTAAACACCCCCTTTTGTGACATTTGTCTCACCAGAGGGCGAGGACCCTGTTGGCTCTGCTCAACACCATCCCCACGGGCCTAGTGCAGAGCTTTGCACCTACTAAGACTCAACTCTGTCCCCTTAAAATCGGTATGTTGAAGTCTCAACTCCCAGTACCTCCAAACGTGACTGTATTTGTAGGTAGGGTCTTTAAGGAGGTAATTAACTTTTCCCCAAGGTTTAGTGAGATATAACTGACATAAACATATTGAGAGAGAGTTTACATACAACATAATTGACATAAGATGTACACCTTCATTGTAACTTGTTGGCCTGAAACAGTAAAACAGACCAGCAAAATGGATTTATTTGGGAATAGCAAAGAATTGTAATTTGAGACATGCCAGCTAGGGTGAACCACAGCAAGCCTGGAGAACAAAGAGGAAACTCCTTTATAGAGAGAAGAGGGGTGGTTGGGAGGGGCTGTTATAAGCAGAGTCTGTTGGTGGAAACCGGGAGTTAGATGTGGTCTTTCATTGGCGGAGTTGTGGCCGTCTCTCATTGGCTGGGCTGTTGCCAGGCGGAGAGAAATCCCTCCTCCTGCTGGGCAGTGAAGCAACAACCTTCTCTTCGAGATGCAAGGTGCTCTCTTCCTGCTGGGTCTGCAGTTAACCTAGAGGGTGGGGCCTGATTGCTCCCTCTCCGGTCTCTTGGCTCCATTTTAAAGGAGGTTTCTGTTTCTTAATGTTTGCAACACTCTGGTGTACAATGTGATGATTTCAAACACACATACATTGCAAAAATGTTTAGCGCAGTCAGGTTAGATAATCCTTGTCTCATATAATCACCATTTTGTTATGGTGAGAGCATTTAAGATCCACTCTTAGCAACTTTCAAGTACACAATACAGGGTTAACTATGGTCACCTATAATGCTATGCTATAATTAGCTCCCCAGAAGGTATCCACCTTCGCACTGGAAGTTTGTACCCTTTGACCTACATCTCCTCATTTCCCCCACCCCCAACCTCTGACAATCACCATCTCTTCTGTTTCTGTGAGTCTGATGACTTTTTTTTATAAGTACTATTTTTTTCTTTGCAAAGTCAATTTTTATGTTTATTTTTTATTAGTTTTTTCGTTTGTTTGACTTCTTTGGGGGGTGATAATTAGGTTTATTTATTTATTTATTTAAATATAGGCACTGGGGATTTAACCCAGGACCCTGGACATGCTAGGCATGCACTCTACCACTGGGCTATACTACCCTCCCCCCCTATTTTTAAACACCTTTATTGTGGTATGATTCCTGTACAGTAAACCACGTATTTCAGACGTGCAATTTGATGAATTTTGACAGATGTATACATGAGTTTGATGATTTTAGACTGCACATGTAAGTGAGATCATACAGTACTGTATTTGTCTTTCTTTGACTTATTTCACTTAGCATGTCTTCCAGGGTGTCACTGCAATTGGCGAGATGGCCTTTTTTAGGGCTGATTGATATCCTATTATATATTCCATGATATATGTATTCCAAATACATTTTCTTTACCCACTCATCCAGAGATGAACACTTAGGTTATTGTAAACGACGCTGCAGTGAACATGGTGGTGCAGATAGCTCTCCAAGACAATGATTTCTTCTGCACACCCAGAAGCGGGATTGCTAGATCAGATGGTAGGTTCATTTTCAACTGTTTGATGAACAGGGAGGTAGTTAAGTTTTAAAGAGGTCAAATGGGTTTGCCTTAATCCAGTCTGACTGGTGTCCTTACCAGAGGAGGATGTGAGGACAGACTCGCAGAGGGACGACCACGGGAGGACCTGGGGAGGAGGGTGTCTGCAAGCCTAGAGGGGTCCTCTGGAGAAACCAGCCCTGCGCACGCCTCGATCTTGGACTCCCGGCCTCCAGAGCTGCAGCAGAGTTAAGTGTCTGGTGTCTGGGCCCCCAGCCTAAGCGCAGTTATGGCAACTCTACAAAACTAACCAACGCTTAATGGGCCCTCAACAGACATTTCTTAAAGTTAGATTGAAACAGAAGAGCGGACAAAGGTCTCTTTTAATCATGATGTTTAATTCACTATTTACTGTGTCTTAAAAAGCCCATGGCAGTTTCAAATCTGAACGCAAAGAAATCTTTTAAAACCTCCAACCAAGACCTGTAAGACGAAAACCAGC